TTGCCCAAATTATAAAGATATTTATCTTCGCATGGAGTAACGTCCATATTTCATTCTATCATTGGTGGAAGATTCAGATGTTCAAACATCGATTATGGCCAAATATAGATTTGCTTGTGATACCCATTACCTTACACAACAATCAGCTGCAAAAAATTAAAAAAAAAGGTATAGAAGAGTTAATTTAACACAAAGAAAAGTAAAATTAGAAAAGAGTCTTCGTATATGATAGTTAATATCTGGTCTTGAATTAATTGTATTTCGGTCCCTTCCTTTTACTTGCAGGGGAAAATTTATGCCTTGCATTTGGACTTGGTCACCAATGGGGTCTTTTTCCAAGTAATAATAAAGTTATGGAGTATTCTAAACAGCAATTTGTCCCAAGTCATTTGAGTGAATGTCATTTGACGTTACAATAACCATCTTGAGTCTGAAGCAAGACTACTGGTTCTGCACTGAAGGATGATATCGTGAAGAAGACCAATTGTAAATTCTTTGAACAGTGAATGGATATACACCATTCTTCAGGGTTCAAGCGTTAAATCCATTTCTCTTTCTCTGCTTTCCTTCCAAACAATGGAAGAAAAGTAAAAGAGAAGAGGTTAAGCTGCTTGACGTCCTATCTGCTTGACGTCCAATGGTGAGTGAATTACCAGAGATGTTCCAATTATTTGATTAACAATCTTATCTTAATCGAGTATTATTATAGACAGTCTATCTATTTATCTAGTATTTCATTTTGAGCTCTGAAGTGAAGACTCATTACAAAATCGTCAATTTGATGTCATATGAATTGGACCTTATCTCCAATATCAACTTTTATTCTCCATTTAAACCTTGAAGTGTAATCATAAATTTTTCAGAGCATCATTTTTTCTTCAGTGTAAACTAATCAAATAATATAATTTTCAATGGAAAAAATATAAAACTTTACATAATCTAGGAAAGATCATCTAAATAAATTTTAAATGTTGATTTATTTTACGCGCCACTTTCGAAACCAACAATGAATGCTAATCGTCCCTAATGAAGTGAAATATTTTTTAGTCAAATAAAAATAGTACTCTGGATTTTTCTTTTCTTTTTTTTTTGTTGCATAGGCTCCCACATATTTCTATTCCATTTTGGTATCTGAAATATAATTTTTTAACCTAAATTATTGGTTTGTCAAAAAAAAAACATAGCAACCCTTATATTAGAGATAAGTTACAGATTGATAGCCAGCACATTTTTTTTTTCACATTGACTATTAAAGATATAAAACAATACCAGCAGAATTTGTTTAAAGAATTTCCTCATATATTAAGTGAAAATGATGGTTTCTTTAAAGGATTTGTGAATAGAAGGAATATGATATATCCGTGTACAAACGTGATTAGCCCACTTATACCATAGACTAGATTCATACAAGGGTTTCCAGTCAACTGCCTTCCTTTCGTGTAAAAAGACTGCATTGACTAAAAAGAAAAAAAAAATACCAGCAGAATTTGTTTTAAGAAAAGTGTAATTCATTTACAAAGATATTTCACAAAAATTATATATCACCAACAATAGGTAGCTATCATATAAACAACCAAGAACCTTCATCCTAAGGTTGTGGAAATTAAGTTTTTAATTTATGTACAAAAAAAAAAAGGAAAAATGAGAAAAAATGGTAGATATACTATTGCTGAAGCTAATAAAAGAATGAGAGAGAAAAATGAGTTTTCAAATAGCAAAATAAAGTTACATTTGTCTGAAGATTCTAACAATTGAAAATAAGACTAATTTTGAAATTTTGAAAACACACAACCAATCAAAAACTAAGGGTGCGTTTAATAAAACTGAAATCTGAAATCTGAACTTGAAATTGTAGAAAAACAACTACAGCAAGAACAATAGTTGTTGGAGGGGGGGGGGTTAAGAAAACAACTACAGTAGGTCTAGGTTTAGGTCTAGATCTAGGTCTTGGGTCAATGTCTCAAATTTATTATATCTCGCTTCTTTCCATCCAATTAACAGGAAGGATATAAGAAAAAAGAAAATAATTGCTGCAGATCTAAGTCAAGATAGTGATGGTAATGTAAGGTTTTCATCTTCTACAGACTAGGAGCTAGAAAACTCAGATAATTACTTATCTTTGTTCACAGTCAACACTTCCCTTTAGAATATTTGGATGGAAAAATGAAACATAGATTTCGACCCTTATCATCTTCGTCAAGATGGCAATATTAGTATCACCCTCGGATTAGGGTAAATAGACTCAAATGACAAGAAAAGGTGTTTAAAATTCTCCGTAACTATACATCACTATCTAGTAAGAAGAACCTGCTTACCACAAACTCCAACGTGAGGTATAAATCTTCCCAGGTAGGCAGGTAAAATATCTAGCAAGTAAAGGGTTGAAATGCACGCAGTATCTGAGCAAATTAATAGGTGCATAGAAATTTATTTTGGTCGATTTCTTTCTTTAAGATATATCAATAGGTAGCACTGGCTGTAGGTTATTTCTTGCTAGTCGCTGCATACACATACAAGCATGTTTCGATTCATTATTATTTGAAAATTTTTTTACTTGAATCACAAATAAATTTTTTAATAATTTTTTCGTATCTCAACCATTATTTTTTTTCACGTACATCACACCATAAGAAAGTGTCATAATAATTATTCTAAAAATGTCATTACCTAATTCTAGAGTTAAAAGCAATTGGTTCGTTATGCACTTATTTGATTCTTTGACAGTTTATTTTTCTAGTTTTAGGTAGAATTTCAGTGTCTTTATCCCCTCTCTTTTCTTTGATTCATCCTCCACTGATAACCTTCTAAATCTGAAATAGAAAATAAATATAATGAAACTGGCTCTAGTGTAGTCTAATTAACCTAAACGCACTGATCATACAATAGACTGAGGTCATGCAATGTACTATAAATTCCACGTTTTCAAGTCCTTAGTATTATTGTTGAAGTCTTTCGTCCAAAATAAAGACTTTGGCATCATCTCGGTGGAATACCTTAGATGGCCTATAATTAATTATTTAATCCAAGAATTGTTGCATTTCAATTGATAGTGACCTAAGCTGACGAATACCCTGTACGAGTTAAACCAAGTTTTCTTATTAGTTGGTTGCTTGGGTTAAATTCCTTTTAAGACAAAATGGGCAGAAGGTATTAAGAAAGTACTAAGGTGCCAAGTCTCATTTGGGCTCCAATCCGAGGGGAAAAAAGACATGTTGGCTGCAGGAATAACGCTTTAGACTTTGAAGTCTAACGGATCCTTTTATCTTGATAAAGTAAAATTTAATCTAGTATTGAAAGTAGTTCAATGTTTTTTTCCATATTTTTTTTTAGTACAGTATCATTAAAATTTTTCATCCGGGCTCTTTTTTATTTGTTTATTTATTTTCAAATTTTTTATACGAGGATAGTAAGTTGTCAAATGTTTCACATAAAGTTAGTAAACATGGAGAAATATATATTTACTCCCAATTGTAGGATAATTAACCATATCTGATTGAGATTGGTTTTTCCCCGCCCTAAATATATTGTATTTTATCCTTAGTAGTCAGGGTAAAAAGAAATTTTAAAAATTGAGAAAAGTTTGTATGAGGAAATTTTTAAAACTGAGAAAAGTTTATCAATAGCACGTATTGTTGAAAGATAAACAAAATTACTTAATATTCGAATCGAGTTTAACTCAATAAGAAATCATTTGACTTTGGTTCGTCAATTAATCAAGACAAATATGAATAGCATTTTGCATTCAATAAAGTTTACAACTCAGCTTGAATTTGATTTGATTAGTATGAATCTTGAAATATACGCAAAAAAATTCAATCTATTCAATCTTGACTCAAGTTTGCCATGATAAAAGCTTGTTTCAATTCGACTCAATGTATAAGTAAGTTAAAGTTGAACATAATTTTGACATATTAAAATCACTAAGTAAGTTTAAACATTAGATTATTCGGCTTGATTAGATTTTTTTTTTTTTTTTACATCCTAAAGCATGGAGTGCTACATTGGATTTATATATTGCATGTTTAGTCACAAAAAATGCATCTTCTTCTATCCTATATATTGATGTCCAACACTTCTGCCTCTGTTTGCAACTGGACCGGAATCACTTGTAATACTCGTCATTTATGGTACATATTTCTTTTATTTTAAAGTGTTTAATTATTAATACAAGTAAAAAATAAATAAATAGAACATTTTAGCCATTAATTATTCATGGTGTAAAACAATAAATTTGAATATTATGCGAAATTTGAGAACAACTATGAAAAATATAAGAAGCCTGTAACAAACTAACGGGATGAATAAATGAAATAAAAAGTGAGAGAAAAAGAAGAAAAATAAGTTTAATCAGTTTTTGCATGTTTTCTATTACAGAATTCCTACTACACATCTAACACAATTTCAATCTAATTTGCAAATCATTTCATTTTAAAACTCTTAGTTTTATTATTTATAACTTGAGGTACTATAATGATCCAAATTCTAATTATTATAGACCAAAATTGAAAAGTCAAAACTGATGACTAATGGCAATTGGTAAAATCAAAAACATTGAGAATCAAATTTGTTTTAGTTGAAATATTAGGACCATTTTGGTACGCGAACCAAACATTTTTCGCAAAAGATAATTAATTTGGTCGCTCATTTGGTCATTTAATAACCAAAAGATAATTAACCCACTTGTACCGTAGACTAGATCCATACAAGAGATTTTCCATAAATTCACCAAATTGAGAAACAAATTTTCCATAAATTACTGCCTGTTTTGCCAGCGTAATATAGAGAAATCTAAAAGAAGAAAAGAATTTAAACTAGCAAACATATCAAAATTGAGCCTAGTTGAACAAATGAGATCTTCAATTTGTCACTTCCTCGTGGAAACATTTTAACTCAACCCCAAGTGTATGCCTATATAAGTCCTGCCCAATGTCACAATGTATGCTCGTGTTTTATTTACCTTTTGTTTGGCATTCCTCAAGTTTTATTTGCCTCTATAAGCAATGCAGAGAACTTATTTTCTTTTCGTTGGAGCTTTAGCCTTGCACTTTATCGCAACTAGCTCAGGTAGCATAATTGTAGCCAACAACCAAAACAACACTGCTAGTGATCTGAATGCTCTTCTTGCTTTCAAAGCCGCCATTTTCGATCCTCAAAGGATCATTCCAACCAACTGGTCCACTTCTTCCTCTGTTTGCAACTGGATTGGAATCACTTGTAATGCTCGTCATCACAGAGTCGCAGCCATTGACCTTTCTTACATGGGAATTGCGGGAACGATACCTCCACAATTGGGAAATCTTTCTTTTCTCGTCAGGTTGAATGTTAGGAATAACAGCTTTCATGGACATCTTCCAACCGAGCTATCTGGTCTGCGACGATTGAAGTACATCAACTTGGAAGGTAATAACTTTGAGGGAGAACTTCCGTCATGGTTGGGAGCTTTAACTGCAATCCGATACTTATCCTTCCGAGATAACGGATTTTCTGGTTCATTATCAGGCAGGCTCTCTAATTTCACAAATTTAGAGACCATCAGGTTGAGTTACAACTTTTTTACTGGAAATCTTTCAGAAGAATTCAGCGCTCTACCGAAATTGACAGTATTGGACATTCAATATAACGAACTTGTAGGCCCTCTGCCACAGGCTCTGTTACCTTCCAGCACGTATCTGCGATTATCTCCCACAACTCCAAGGGCTTTACTTATCATATAATTACTTTGAAGGTGAAATTCCATCAGGCATCGGAGAATGCTCAGGACTCCAATTTTTATCCTTGTCTTACAACAAATTCCGAGGATATATACCCAAAGAATTTTGGAATCTAACCACGCTTACACAAATAGCTTTGGGTGGGAACGACCTGACAGGTAACCTGCCAACTTCACTTTGTTTTGAAAAATTCTTGTATATTTCGACCACCAATAGATCACAGATTTAAATGCTTGTAGGGTTGTGAGTTTAGATGCTTATGTGTGGAGAAACACTTAAACTTAATGTTTAAGTAGACTGGATATAAGCAATGATTCCTTCTTTTCGGCCCCATTCTGTACGTTATCTTTATGTATTTCAAACTGAATTGTTAGTTTGCAATGTTTTGATTTTTTTATTTGTCAACTTTTTCATCTTTATTTTGTCAAAAAAAGTAAAATTTAAAATATTCTTCCTTAATCAATCAAAATTTGCAACAACATTATAAAGTAATTATTAGTTATAGCCGGCAATTGTCATCCAAGACTAATTTATGTAAGTTTATTGTGTAGAGTACAAATTAAGACTGACAATCCATCATAACCCAATGAAAATTGTTCAAAATCCTTTTTAACCCATTGAGAAATTTTCATTGGGTTTAAAGGATTTTGAGACTAGAATCATAATTGCATGAAAAATTTACATCACATACACTATTTCTGATGATTGCTAACTGCTTAAGTATTGGTGCAAACTTCGTGTGAATAAAGAAGTTTTTGTTTTCAACAAATTAAAGATAAAAGTTAGGAAATAAAAAACTCAAAGCATGGCGAACACAGAGTTACTAAACCTAACCCAATGGTTCAATTGGTCAACTTAGTGATCTTGGATTAGTAGTTGGACTGAATGAGGAAGGAAATAGTTGGATCAGTAAATCTATGGTTAAGCCGCTAACTTGTTACACCAATGGCCTTGCCAGGTTGATGTCTAGGCCGGGATTAATGACTATGCCAAACACACAATTTTGTTTGATGTAAGAAATAAAATTGTGAAAGAAGGATGAATTAACACTATTTATATTAATGAGGTAAGTTGTCTTTTTGTACAAAACCATTGGTTTTGATGGATTACATCTCTCTTGCCTTTGAATCCAAAGCATAAGGATGCTAAAAGTATATTTTCAAGCCATGTTAAAATTTCTCTTGCCTTTGAGTAATTTCCCCTTAAAATTTTTGGACATTTGAAACTTCATGGCTTTACCGTCTATGAAAGAAAATGTAAAAAGTATTAATTTCGATATGCAAATTTAGATTTTATATCAATTTTATTTCTAATTTATGCATACATTTATAAATCCATTGACATACGCATATAGGTTGCCACCAAAATGACCTCCAATTTTTGGGAGTGTATGTAATCGTCAGTTTGCCAATATTTATGAGAGATTTACATGATATTGTTTGAAACTAAACTGAAGATCCTTAGAATTCTGAAATGTATATATATTATGTACATATAATTATGCCATGCCGTTAATTATATTTATCATCATGCCGTGATTTTTGAGCAGGTGAAATTCCAAAATCCATTGACAATCTCTATAATTTGGAGATACTAGCCATGGAGCGTGCTAATGTGACAGGTAAAAATCTTGATACATTTTGGCATGAGATCTATTCCATCATTAGAATACTTTTCTCAAACTTGAATTTGAGCTTGAAGTTAAGCGAGTTCAAATACAAATCAAATTGGACTCTTTTTCATACGTCAATTGGTCAGTCATACTAGTGCACTGCATAAGCCAAAACGATTTTGATCAGCTTGATCTCAATATGCTACAGCCTACATCTATAACTCAATTTCAAATTCCCATTGATTGCACTTAAAAAATAGAGATACTGATAGGGGGCTAATAGATGATACAATGGGAAATAGGAAGATGATGGTACAAAGAGATAGAAAGTGTATAATTCAACTTCAAATTCCAATTGATCACTTCAAAAATAGAGATACTGATGATACAATGGGAAATACATTTCCAAAATTGTCAATGAATTATACCACTTCCTTTCCTATCTTTACCCCCGAATTGGTTGAGATGCTTCCTCTTTCGTTAAATTTAGTTACTTGACTGCAGATATCATGTTGCCATGTTGTATGATAAACTTCCATTTACAAGACCCAACGTAGCATCAATTGCCTGACCACTATCAAATCTTACTACAGCACTATTTTATGGCTTTATGCTTAAGTTCATCAATACTAGTAACGTGGATTTACTTTACCCAAAAAAATATATATATAACATGGATTTACTTGAACTCGTCTTTATCATTATGTATCAAAAACTTGCTGGCTTGTAAATCATAATGCTCAATACTTGCATCCACTATGTGTCTATCTTCTCATTACTTCCCTATCTCAACAAATTGTTTCAAGTCAAATGACTCATTTTTTTCTTACCAATTTGATTTGTTAGGTATAATACCTCAAGAGGTAGGTAATCTTAGCAAGTTGGAAGAACTTTGGTTGCACTCGAATAGGTTAAGAGGTCCCATCCCGCTGAAACTTTTCAATAGTTCAACTGTACGAGTTGTTTCTCTCTCGGAGAATGATTTATCAGGCGAGCTTCCATCAACTATGGGTGCTTTCTTACCCAATCTTGAGGAACTCTACCTTGGGGGAAATGAATTCACTGGAACTATACTAACATCTATCCCAAATGCTTCTAGGCTCAGAATGCTAGACCTTTATACAAACCATTTTACTGGTGCAATTCCTCATTCTCTTGGAAACTTGAGATTACTGGAAACGTTTGCCATATCGGAAAATGATTTTTCCGAGGACTCGCTATCCAAAGAGTTGAGCTTCATCATATCCCTATCAAACTGCAAACACTTAAGAAGGTTGTGGATAGATGCGAATCCTCTGAATGGCTTCCTCCCAAAATCTATTGGAAATCTTTCTAGCTCACTCGAATCCATTTCTGCCAGTAATTCTGGAATCATAAGTGAAATTCCAAGTTCGATTGGTAATTTGAGCAACTTGATAGAGCTGAGCTTTTCAATCAATAGTTTGACTGGAGTAATTCCAACTACAATCAAATGGTTCTTGAAGCTTCAGAGGATAGATCTAAACCACAATCAAATACTAGGAGCTATTCCAAGTGAGTTTTGTTATTTGTTGAACTTAGGAGAATTAAGACTTGGACAAAATATGCTCTCTGGTATGGTGCCTTCTTGTTTAGGAAACGTTACAACACTCAGATATGTTGATCTCAATTCTAACAGTTTAAGTTCTATGATACCAACAAGCTTTTGGAGCCTCATATATATTTTGGAGCTAGACATGTCAGGAAATTATTTGACAGGTTCTTTGCCTGCTGAAATTGGAAACTTCAAGGCAATAGTCATTTTGAACCTTTCAAATAATCAATACTTGGGTGGCATACCTAGCACTATTGGAGCACTACAGGATTTGCAAGAACTCTCCTTGGAACGTAACAAGCTACAAGGATTGATACCAGATTCCATGAAGAATATGTTGCAGTTACGGCATTTGGATCTATCTTTTAACAATCTGGAAGGTGAAATTCCCAACTCATTACGGTACTATCAGATCTCCAATACTTTAATGTGTCTTACAACAGATTGAAAGGACCGATTCCTCATGGAGGGCCATTCGCAAATTTCACGAACCTATCTTTTCTCTCAAATGAAGCATTGTGCGGCGCTCCTTGGCTCCAACCTTGTACAAGCACATTTGAGCATGAATCAAGGACAAAAAGGATAGTCATGATTGTTCTGTTGGCATCAGGATCTGTCATATTAGCCTTGGTGATTTCAATTTTTTTGATACGGTCAAAGCTGAGAAAGAAAATTCAGGCTCCAACTCAGAACTTGCTTCCCATGGCGACATTTGAAAGGGTGTCCTTCCATGAACTTAGACAAATAACAAATGGATTCAGCGAGAGTAACTTACTTGGCTCGGGGAGCTTTGGTTCAGTTTACAAGGGAATTTGTGAAAATGGGATGGTTTGGGCCATAAAGGTATTCGATTTGCAGCTAGAAGGTGCATTTAAAAGCTTTGATAGAGAATGTGAAGTCTTAAGCTGCCTTCGTCATCGAAATTTAACTAGGGTAATTACAGCTTGCTCTAGCCTTGACTTTAAGGCTTTGGTGCTCGAATACATGCCCAATGGAAGCCTTCAGAAATGGCTTCATGTAAACCATCATGTCCTAAGTATCATGCAAAGGTTGGATATCACGATAGATGTGGCTTCTGGTTTGGAATATCTCCACTATGGTTATTCAACTCCTATAGTTCATTGTGATTTGAAACCTAGCAATATTCTTCTAGGTCAAGACATGGTTGGGCATGTTTGCGATTTTGGAATTGCAAAGTTGTTAGGAGATGGAGAATCTGTGGTACAAACAAAGACTCTTGCTACATTTGGATATATTGCCCCAGGTGACTTTTCTTGACTCAAATTTCGAAATTTTTATGTCATTCAAATTAATGTTTCAACTTTCAACAACTAATACAGTATGTCAAATATAAAACCTTTTAAGAAAAAACATAAATTTGCTGAACCAATACCAATACTTGACTTTAACTGCGAGTTTCAAATTTTGATGCTAGAGTATGGACTGGAAGGATTGGTTTCAACAAGTTGTGATGTCTACAGCTTTGGAATTACATTGATGGAGACATTTACCCAAAGAAAGCCTAAGGATGAGATGTTCACAGAAGAGTTAAGCCTCAGGCGTTGGGTACAAGATTGCTTACCAGATTCTGTGATTCAAGTTATAGACAGACTTACTTCATCCTGAAAATGAACTGGTACAAAAGAAGATTAACTGCATATCATCTATCTTGCAACTTGGTTTAAGTTGTACAACAGATGCTCCTGAGGAGAGAATAAACATGAAAGAAGTTCTAAGAGCGCTGCAGAAGATCAAACTCCAGTTTATCAAAGACATCACGCCTTGAAGCAGGTATAAAACCAATAATCCAATAGCAACTTTTTTTTCTTCAATCATATGGTATATCAAAAGCTTATTCCAAGGATTATTATTCATTCAAGTAGTACTTATGTTTTTCCACTCAATACATGGCAGAGCCCTGAGGTGCAAATGTATTTGAGGAATTTTTTGTCCTGATTTGGTGCACCACCGAAATGCTTAAAGTTCAAGGAAGGAATGAGATATGTTAATGTATTACCAATAAATTGTTTACAGATATAAAGACCTCAAGTTCATGATCCCAGTTTATATGTTATGAAACGCCAAGCATTTTACTTGGTGTTTATGTTTGACATACATATATATATATATATGGCAATTAGGTTGGTAATTTACTTTAATTACTGATACAACTTTCCTCTTTTCAATTTTTGCAAATAAATGAGAAAAAAAATTGATCATCAGTATATATCACCATGTAGAGGTACGCATAAGCATATGTATTTGTACATCTAGAACATGCATATGGCATGCAGATTCTTGCATTTATTTTATTACAAATTACACATTTTAAAGGTGCAAAAAACAGCGATGGTAAAGTAGTTTTATGTGCAACAATTACTACTTAATAGAAATTAATAGCACCTTTTCAGGGTAAAATTGAAGCTTATATTTGTAATTATTGTTGAGGATAGTTGGAGGTTGTTAAAATTAATTATGTACTATTTCCTCAAGCTAGAAAATGGTGGGAACATTTGTTAAATATCTCAATTTTGAGAAATTACTCTGACGAAGCTCTGCACTGGATTGTTGGTGATTTGGGAACAACTCATTCCATATATTCCTTTAACATTGGAAATAAAATAAAAATTCAGCATGTTCCACCTCCTTGGTTTTTATGCTTGAATTGAAGTGCAAGAGTGAAAATGGATTTGTAGAGGAGAGAACAGCTCACAAAGATTTGGAGTTAGAGGTAAGGAAGGAAAAAAATTCAACAAAAAGGAAAATAAGAAAACCCGATTTTTACCGATTCTTCCGATTTCCGGTTAAACTTAATTTTTGGTCACGTTTGACCGAGTTTCTACCAACCCAAGTTTTTTAAAATAACTCAGACCAGACGCTTGGTTAGTTCTCAATTAAATCAGCCGGTCCGATCCGAGTTTAAAAACATGAAAGAGTACATGATAAGGCTTAGACCTGGCAATTGGGCGGGTTGGGCGGTTTTGGGCGGATTGATATTGGGTTTTTATTTAAATGGGTTATACCCAATCCGCCCAACTTTAAATTGGGTTACTTTTGGGTTGGGTCATTTTGGGTTATCTCAAACCCATGACCCAAATATGACCCAATATATTAATTAATAAATTTTGATACATAAATTCTCTTAAATATATTTTTACATACAAAAAATTTTTAAAAGCAACAAGAAGAATACCTAATCACGAAAATATTCGAACAACCATGTTCATATGGCACATATTTAGAATTATCCATACAGGTTGTAGCTTCCAAATTAAAGCAATGAACGAAAAAGAAAAAATCTGTTGAACTGAGAACTGAAGCTGCCTAAATACTCAATATTTCAATCCTGGATTTTTGGAGATTAGAGAGAAGTACTCCTCGAGGCTTAGGAGCTCAAGATCACCAAACGTAAAAGGCTAAAAGTACATACGAAAATTACCCAAAAAGACATAGAATACGTACAAAATTGTTTGTAGGATAAAAGCAATTTGTCTAAGATCTAAATTTGCTAAAGCAAAGTTTTCACAACACTGACAATCTATCCAGGAGTTACTCCAATAGACAACATACAGGTGAATCCATTTACTACCCCTAACATACAGGTGCGAAGCTGGTGGTGGTGGAGGTTTATTTGTTTTTTAAGTTGGGTAATGGGTACCCAACTTAATTACCCAAACCCGCCCAAAATATGTATGGGTTTTTATTACCCAACCCAAAATTAACCCAACACCCAATTTACCCAACCCAACTTCTGAAATTAGTGGATTGATTGGGTGGGTTTTTGGGTTTTGGGTATAATTGCCAGGTCTAGAAGGCTGGTCTCAAGAAATCTTGATGGCCGCTTGGGGACCCCAAAAACTAATCCTTCCTAGAAAGTAAGGTTAAAATAGAAAATGTATCTAAAAATATGGGACATGATGATAGATGAGGATTTGTACATTTCGAAGTAATTAAGGTGTGTTTGTTAAAGGGGCCGACCCCTTGAATACTTGTAGAAGGATGCTATAATAATTTACAATCGAATTACAAATTCTAACAAGACCTTAGTTTGTGAACAAAACCACGAAGGTTAAAAGTATAAAAGTAAACCATTCGGAATACATGTTTCGCAAATGGGTATACAACCTAATAGCATGTAATTAATTATCCACTATTTTGTATGTTTATTGTATTTTATGACTTATAACTTAATAATTATAAGATTAAATATTTTATACATTAACAGTGTATCTATCTATCAGTAGATTTAGATACATGTTAAACCTAGAAAACTTAAAATATAAATTCAAATTTATAATCTTACACCTAAACTTACTAATGCATACACAACTAAAAAATCAAACTATAACTATATAAACAAAAATATTTTTCAAAACACATAGATATGTTACCCATATAATAATCTACACTTACCCTATTTACTGAAACATTACAATCACTATCTTGACCAAGTCTTGTAATTATTCTCTCTTGTCCTATTATTCCCACTGATTTGGATGGAAAGAAGAGAGAACAAGATGTGAGACTTGGACCCGGTTGTCTTCGTCGAGATAGCATCCTCAAGGTTGGACAAGTCTTGGTAAATGTAGTGATTGCCATGTTACTTGGTTATTAGGAGAATATGCACTAAAATGATAAGACAACAGATTAAGAATTGCCCATAATTATTTCCGCTATTTTGAATTCACTCGATGACGTCTGAACGAGGTACTAATTTTCCACCGGTAGGCATTTAATTCCTGGCAAGTAGAGGACAGAAATGCATCAGTATACAGAGAATTGAGCAACAGGTCTTCATCAATATAGAGTCCTCAATGAATGTGGTGTTCTGCTTACCCACGGGGTAGGTTTAGGTGAATACACACTCAATCGACAAGACAAGCTGCTTGAGTTGAAATTCTCCACAACTATTTGGACAAAACTTGCCCACGTAGACAGGTGATTTTTAACGAAATGTATGTAACAGGTTACCACTTAACATGAGTGAAGATGTTATTTTATAGAATCTCAATAAACGGGTAAGTGTATTTTTTAAGGTAAAAACCAGCTTTAATTCATAAAGCATCGAATCAAGCAGCAAAAGCTGTATTAGTACAATAAGCACAGATACAAAGCTGGTAGAAAACAAAATCATATACAAGTACAAATTAACTACTGTTTAAGGAAAATTATAGATTGAGGAAAATCCCTTCTCAAGCTCAACTCGTTGTGTTTTATGGTAATCATAATCTGCAAGGCTCTTTAGGTGTACAAAACCATCTTTAGCTCAGCTAGCGGAGGAGTTACTAATATCCAAAACAACATTAATGTTTCTGAGCACGCTTCTTGCCTTCAAAGCTACCATTTTTGATCCCCAAAGGATCATCCCGTCCAACTGGTCCACTTCTACCTCTGTTTGAAATTGGATTGGAATCACTTGTAATGCCCGTCATCACAGAATCGCAGCCATCAACCTTTCCTACATGGGAATTGTGGGAACTATACCTCCACAACTGGGAAATCTTTCTTTTCTCACCTGGCTGAATGTTATGAATAACAGCTTTCACGGACACCTTCCATCCGAGCTATCTCATCTACGTCGATTGAAATACATTAACCTTGCACGCAATGACCTTGAAGGAAAATTTCCGTCATGTTTGGGAGGTGTAACTTCACTTCGGCTCAAAAACTTCCCATACAACAAATTTTCAGGTTCATTATCAGGCAGGATCTGTAATTTCACAAATTCGGAGTGGATCAACTTGGGTTTCAACTTCTTACCAGGAAATATTCTGGAAGAATTTAGTGCTCCGCCAAAACTGAAAAATTTGGCAATGGAATTTGACCAACTTGTAGACCCTCTGCCACAGGCTTTCTTTAACCTCGCCTGATTGCAAATAATTGCTTTTACGAATAATAGATTATCAGGTTACTATCAATTCCGAGGACTTTACTTATCATCTAATTACTTGAGGGTATGTTTGGTTACCCATGGAATTGGAGTGTAGAATTGGAATTTGGGCCCCAATTTTAATTCTTGTGTTTGGATACTATCTTTACTGTAGAATTAGAATCGAATTGCAATTCCAAATCGATCGAATTCCATGGTTCCAATTCTTTGGCTGGACCAAAGAATTCCAATTCCACGGCCAGACTTCCATTCGGGTCAACGCGGACTTTAAAAGGATAAAAACCCCAAAACGGGTCAACTATAAAGCTGGATTAAAAAAAAATACAAAGCCGGCTTCTTTCTCTCTCTTCGTGAGCAAATCGCTCTAGCGTTCTCTGCCACCGCCACCGCCACCGCCGGTGCCGCCTCCTCTTCCCAACACCTCTCCCATGACCCCTCCAGGCCTTTCCTCCCTCTTCTCTCCTCCGCAGCATCGTGTGGGTGAAATCGCTATATCTATTCTGCTATATCATGGTAAGTTTCGTTCCACTGCATCTTCTCTCTTTCTATGTGATTCGCTTCTTCTCTAGATTTGCAAAACTAAGGTTATTCTGCTATAGATACAGCCCACATGATTGCTGATGACCATGTCGTAGATGTCAAAATCATACGTAAAAAGTAACAGAGAAGGAAAAGAAATTGTAGGAATCATCACATTTCTTCATAAAAGGAAATATGAAAAAAAAAAAGATAGAGAAGACAAATTGCTATTATATCTTCTTTCACTTTCTGAAAAACGGTGTTTATGATCTGTAGATGTGGGTTTTCAATGTGGCTAAAAGGACTCCAGGCATAGTAGAAACTAGAAAGGGTACAGGAATAAAGTAAACAAGATGTTAAACGAGGACTTCTTGCATGACATTAGAAACTAAAAAAGAATTTACGACTTAAGCTGGTATAGAAAACTTCAATTTTTAGCACTGATTAATGCTAGAATTTATCATGGGACCAGATATTTGAGAATACATTTTTCTATTTCTTTTAGTGAGAATACATTTTTTAGACTTATAGTGAGAATGCATTCTTGTAAAGAACCACGAATTTGTGTTGCAATATTTTCTATTTATATTGTCATTGTTGGTTGTGGTTTTTGTCTGAATGTAAAGAGCAATATACTTGGATTTCCGGCTGGACTTTGCCC